CTACTAAGTCAACTTCTACGTGCACCTGGTTCAACCCAACACCCCTAAAAATCAATTTTTACATTTCGCAAAGACAAAGAAATGATTCCATTCTTTGCAAGACGTTCTAAAAAAAAAAATCCAGCATTGAACCAACAAGGCCAGCAACATTTGTCATGAATGTTTATGAAATAATACCAAAAAACTATAATTTTTATAGCTTTTCTCTGGTTGCAAGTTTTTTTGTTTTTTAATTTATCCAATCATATTTCAGCCTCATGTGTTGCCAGGCTGAAAGAAATCTGCCCTTAGGGCTTCAGAATCAGTAGTGCACGTGCTGGTAGCTTAAAATGAATAGCAATGAGATTGTTTGTCTTTAACCAACCAGATTTTGAGTTAGCACCACCAAGGCCAACACTATGGTCTTCTTGCTAGCATAAAGTTACGTTGGCGATTTGAGTGATTCGATTGGACGGAACATACAGTAATCTATCAAACTGCATCCAGCAACTTGCATGAGCGAATGGACGGAACATACAGTAATCTATCAAAATGCATCCAGCAACTTGCATTAGTTAGTGTCCACTAGGTGACATCCTCAACCTAAGGCGAATTCAAACTGACAGGACACACTGGACTTTTAGCATTAGCATGGATGGATTTGTGTACAAATAATCAGAAGTTTTAATGAGAAAAATGCATTTTTGTCGCTTTGGCCCAGGGGCAATGTCTCTGTCATTGGCGTGGAACCCCAGGGTTCACCTCCTGGGCAAGTTCGAATCCCGGTTAGGGCGGTTGGTACCTTCCAGTGGACTCACCACCCACAAGAAGGTTTGGGGGGTTGGTACGGTGCAATGTGATTTGGGTGGCGGTCATGGAGGCTGCTGCTCCCGCGACCCGGTAACGGATAAGCAGATACAAATGGATGAATTTTTGTCTTTTAATAATTAAGCAGATGAAAATGGATGGATGGACTTTTGTCTTTTAATAACATTATAATTGCGTCATGTTATTATTGATGCTTTTTGGTGTACATTATGTCACAGCTGTGCCTGAATTGTGATGATTATTATGATATTGTTGCTACACGAGTTAACTAGGATGTAACGAATGGAATGTAATGTAATGTATTCTATTCCCCAGGCCTTTGAGCTGCCCACTGCTCTCTGCGGTGATGCAGAGGTCACATTTTGTTGTGTGCAGTGGTGTTCTGTTCCTATAGACATAATGAGGTTATTAAGATGTGGATTTATTCAGGCAGGACACCACTAAAGGCCTAGGAGTGAATACACACCACACCAATTTTTTTTAATTTTTTTTTCTTACAAGAATAAGATTCTAGTCTTCTTATTGCGGTGGGAGATTGTCAAGGGAAATCCATTCCAGCATAAAATTATGCCAGCATGGTTTTAACCTCCCGCCTCATAATTGTACTGGGGAACAGATAGCCGACTGTTACAGTAGATGTGTTCAAGGAACGTCCACGTCATGTTGGAGTGTTTAGAGCCGTGGTCAGTGGACGTTTTGAGGGGGGAATCAAGAAGAGTTGAAGATGTTTCCCTCCCGTGGTCAGTGGACGTTTTGAGGGGGGGAATCAAGAAGAGTGATGTTTCCCTTGTTAGCAAAATGACCAAAACGTGCCCCCTTTGTTAACCTGCCGTCCCCTCTCTGTCAGGGCAGAGAATTTGGAGAAGGCGGTGGCCTGATTTCCCAAGGTGTGTAGGTTTCCTAAGTGTAGTTGGAGATTTTTCCTCGAGTCTAACAACATGCAAATTGGATCCATTGTTCACTCCAAATTGACCGAAGCTTAAATGCCATTGTGATTAGTTGGTTGTGGCTGTGTATTTGCCCTTGCCTGATGACCGCTGGGATTGGCTCCAGCTCCCATCCCCGAACAGGATAAAGAGGTGGAAGATAAATGAATGGGTAATCGGAAAAGTATTCATACTTCAATTCACCAGTTGGACTCAAATCAGAAAAATATTTTAGGACCTTATTTCCTCTCATGTTTAAGTAAAAGCATTTTGGAGCATTTTGACTGTTGAGGTTGTGTTGTTTTCTACTGTTCTAATCCTCTCTTTACTGCCCCTAAAGGTGTAGGTCGGTCCTTACACTAGTATCCGATACAGATACTACAACTTGTATCTGCCGATACTGCCATCAATGCGATACCTTCGGCATGCCGCGGGCTTCGATTGCTGAGGCGATGGTGTCATCGTTTACAGTGTGTCGTGTTACGTTAAGTCGATCGTTTGGGCTTAGGTATCGGATCGGACGGACCTGGAATTTAGTTGCCACATCCAACAGCTTTGTTTCCCAACAAGAAGTAGGTACCAACAGCTTTGTTTCCCAACAAGAAGTTAGGTGAGAATAGGGAAAACGGCAGCAAGAAAGACTTCAGGGTTAGGGTTAAATGCCCTTTAAATTTTATAATAGGAAAGATTGGTATTCACTCCAATACTTCATTGAAATACTGGTATTTGTACTTGTAATGGGAAACGTGTTTTTGTATCCAGCAAACTGACACTCTGGTTCAGTGTTTAAGTAGGTCAACAATGTCAGCAGTGTGGAGGTATTTTAACATCAGCGCTTGTGTAATGAAAGGCAGACGAGAGAGCATTTTACTACCCAGTGTCTTTACTGTGGTTTGGGTCGAGATTGCACACAAGCAACATTGAGGTTTATCAGTAAGTGTGATTTTGCAATTAAAAGGAAGCTACTGTAATTAGAGAGTGAACTTTGTGTATTTGTGCACCTCTTCTTGAGCCCGGTCGATAAAGCGTTGACACTCTCCCAGGTGCGATGTGACGTCCGTGTCCGGGACATCCAGGATGTTGACTGTTTTGTACGCCAGCTGATCTGGGAACAGGTTGTTAACTCCAAAGGCCACATTAAGCACATGAGTCACCTGAAAAAAAAACAAAAAACAACAGGCAAAACAAGACAAATGGAGGAAATGACCCCTCCGAGCACTGACTTGTTTAAATGGCAGTTTCGCCTCGGCAGGAGAGTAATGCACGTTCTATCTGTCGGCCATATTGATGACACGACACAGGCTGAATGGATAAGGCAGTGGGGGTTGACAGGAAGGGGAAAAAGCAAGGTGAAGAGATGAAGAGAGGGGAGGAGGAAAAAAAAAAAAACCGGAGAGGGAATTAGCATGAGGGCATCGAGGGGGAAAGACGGAGAAGATTACACACATTTATTTGGTAATATTCATCCAGGCTCATTTACATTTAGCCTGAGCCTCACAGGACTAAGATCTCTACGTACTGTAACCTTCTCCTATGCATCTCGCTTTAATGATTGATCCACGTTTTGTTGCTTGAAACTGCGCAACTGCTAGCCAAAAAAAATGTTCCTTTATTATAATCAACACACTGCAGGTATTTTTATGCGTATCTCTCACGTGAAGCCTGTCAGGAGGAAAAACTCTGCATAAGTGATTAAAATGTGTATCAATCCATCACCTTTAGCTGAATCCCCTTTAGGAGGAATAAAGCAGCCAATCCCCCCCTTTTTTTTTTTTTATGATGTTGGCACAATTCTACCCCAAACGGCCTTCGCTCTTTGTTCTCCCTGGCTTGGATCCAGTAATGCGCGGCCAGGAACGATGTGCAAAATGCCAGATTATTTGTCTTGCCTAAGGACACATCTGCAAGCAGCTAGATTTGAACATAGGTCGCCCTGCAGTGAAGACAAATGCCCACTGTGCTACGGCAAAAAAGGGGGAGGAGGGAGGGCTTGTTTTTGGGTTGCGATTAATCGCAATTATTCAAATTATTCAGCACAGGAATACTGAATTTGAAAGTAAATTATTAGACACTTTCTGGTGAGTTCAAGTACTGCTGTATAATCGTGGAATCGTGTAAAAGAAGCAGTATTTCCTTTGATGTAATGATATCGGGATAACAACGATGTAAACAAATCGGATGTAAACAACAGCTTTCTTCCACTGCCTGGGCCCCGGTGTTTTATCTAGTTTGTTTTAGTAAAACAAATCACTCTAATAACATCACCCAGGCTCCTTCTGGGCAACAACAAGCTAACAGATGAATAGCATTTGAGAGATACTTTAGAAAAACTTCACTGGTTCTATCACCGGCGCTTTTTTCTGTATCTACCAGTTAGCAAATGCTACACTGCTAGCGATGTGCAATAATATTTGATTCGATATTAATACTGATACCAATTATTTTTGTGGTAATTTTTCGATACCGATATCGATACTTTTTGTGCTTTCTTTTTTTTTTTAACCTGACAAAACGCATGACAAATACTGGCCATCTAACAACTGTAATGTGTAAAAATGTATTTTTCACAACATATTAGTTGTAACAAATTACATAACATACTTTTACGCAATGTAACCTAAATTAATTATTACCTCAATCGATTACTACGAGTAAGCGACAAAGATTATGGCGTACAATCGGCGAATGTAAACAAAGTTGTCGTCCACATATAGAGTCACATTAGGTATATATAATCTGCACAGGGACTAGTGGGCAATTTTTAACGCCATACGTCAAAATTCCTGTTTCACAACTCAAGTTTTATTAATAAATGTATGGGAGATGGTGATGGTAACCATGGTAACCACGGAAAGGCGTAGGTGCAGGATGTCATAAACCTAGGATCTCCTATACATAAAGCGGTGCATGATTGGTTCTAGCATCTAGCATCAGACGATGATGAAGGTTCCTTACAGGTCCTTTGCATGAAAATGTCTCCGTTGGGCACCAGCAGTCTAGATCAGAAAAGTGATTTCAAAATAAAGTACACATTTAATATGTTTTATTGTCATCCCTGCGCCGTTAGTGGTTTATTAAATGTATCGCTGTCGAGAGCAGTGTCCTCAGATTGCTATCGGTCTTCAAGGTTCTAATAACATTACCTCTGCTCTTACGGTTGATACGGTTATTTAGGGTTTTTTTTTTATTCCTTCGATTTCAACGTGAAAGTGAAGGTATTTGCGATCTCTCTCTAATCCATCATCCTGAGACTGCACTGGCAGCAATATGTGCCGCTGCCTGGGAGCAGCTACTGCAAAGAGGAGCCGTCACATCTGTCTGATGTGTGAGAGCGAGGGCTGAGAGTCGCTGTAATCACTCCCTCTTCTGAGCCACGCTGTCACCGCATCACATTAACAAAGCTCTTCTGGCCAAGAAATGCACAGTTCTTATCTCAGATCTGGCATCACCACACACACACACACACACACACATACACACAAACACAACATAGAAGGGCCACGCCTGCTCGACTGGGCCGTCCGTACTGACCTTATGTCTCTGCAGCGTGTCCATGTCATGGGCCGCGTCCTGAGAACCTGAGGACAGACACGACATCTTCAACAAAAACATACATACAGCGTCTTCCGTACAATCCAAAACGCCACATTTTTTTTTTAAATATAACACATTAAGTACATTATTCAAATTAAAACGGTGTGTAAATTGCTCTTTTGAAGGATCTTAGATTTAGAGATCTTAGTTCAAACGTGCAACTTTTAAGCCAATCAAAGGCTATTTTAAATGTTTTTAATCACAGAACCAGAAAAACCAAAGTTTCCAAAAATGTACTTTTACATTTATGGCAGTGCTCAGTGTGTATATATATATATATATACATATATACATATACATATATATATATACATATATTTATATATATATACATATATTTATATATATATACATATATTTATATATATATACATATATTTATATATATATACATATATATACATATATATATATACATATACATATATATATATATACATATACATATATATATATATACATATACATATATATATATACATATATTTATATATATATACATATATATATATACATATATTTATATATATATACATATATACATATACATATATACATATACATATATATATATACATATATTTATATATATATACATATATTTATATATATATACATATATATATATACATATACATATATATATATATACATATACATATATACATATATACACATATATATACATATTTATATATATATATATATACATATATATATATATACATATACATATATATATATATATAATGTGACTCCCCATACATTGCTTTTGAAGCTTTTACTAATGGGAACCACAGCGATTAGAGTTGTTCTACCAGCTCCCAGTGAGATCATCGTATCTCGATCGTATCAGTTTTTCAGCATTTTATAAGAATTCCACTGCATAGTTTGTTTGGTTTTTTTGGTAAATTCTGCAACTTGGCTTTTCCTTCAGATCACCTGTAGTCAAATATCCGCAACTTGCTGTCTAAATGAGCCTTCCACTCGTAGTTATGATACCAGCCATTTTACAAATTGCTTACGACTTTTTGTTAAGTTGAAGATAAATGATAACCCTGTACCAAATGGACTGGCATCGGTCCCCGGACCAGGGGTTGGGGGCCCCTGGTATAGAGTTTAATTCAGCAATGCTATTGAAGCTATATCGGTTATCAGCAGATATGAGAAGTCCAGGTATCGATATCGGGATCGGGAAAAAGTCAGATTAGTAAATCCCTAACATTTATATTCCATTGGCTTTCAGTATGGAAGATTTATACATCCATGAAATGTCAGGAAACTTGAGATATTCCTGAATAAAAAAAATGTAAAAGTTAAATGGTAAAAAAAAAAGGCTTTAGACTGACACAGTTTTATCTAAGAGACAACATGCTGCTAAACTCGCTTTGATTGGAGCCCAATAAATCCTGCTAGCGTGAGCTCCATCGGCTTATTGACTGTTTATTTATAGTCAGTTAATGTCCGCAAATAGACATATGGCATAAAAGACTGACAAAAAATATTCGTCTGCAACGCCAGGCGCAGACTGTTGCGGCTGAGTGCACGAAACGGGAGCTCGTCTCCCAGTCTCACGGGACGTATGAACACGATGAGACAACTGTAACAAGAGCATCAAACAAAAGGCTGCTCGCCGAGGTGAACAATTGCCCAAAAAACTATTTGAGAAATAAAAAATAATAAAAGAGCTGATACGTGGAATAGATAGCTGGCGCTGAGGGGAGGGGGGGAAAAAAAGAGCAGCGTTTCCATTACAATACCTCCATGTAACTGAACAGATGTAATATTTCATTGATCCCCGCTGAGAAATTCAGCCTTTCTCTCTCCAGCAGTGAAGTTAAAGAGCTACTGACATAAATAGTATCACTGCATTGGGAGTTTCAATGTCAAGCCCAAGGACGTGTCAGCGGAACAGATTCGTGCTGCGAAATGTGAGGAAGTCGACCTATGTCCTCAAACTGCAGGGATTTATGGCCTCTGCTCTCCGAGGTGAATTCAAAATGGAGGACAATGATTTATTTGGTATCACGTGGTTATATATATTTTTGTAACAATTTTAACAATTCTAGCCAAAATGTTGATTTTACTAAATGAGCATTTGTAAAGATGTACTGTTTTATTGTATGTATATATGTATATGTACTAGTTTTGTAATAGTAGTAGATGTTAGTAGTAGTAATAATTGTGGTGTACAAACTAAATTAGCAATGGTTTCTTTTTAGGCCGAGGCTTAAGCTAAAATGCTCTGCAAAAATCATAGAATCAGCATCAGTACTTCTTAGCAGTAGCACTTGGTACTTAGTAGTAGAAATGGTGAATTTGTGACAGTATCAACAGATAAACGATCGATCAACAACAATTGCAAAAGTACACAACAATAGCCTAAACCTCAGAACTACAATACAAACATTTTTATACATGAGTTAAAAAATATATTACCCAGTAGCAGAAAATGTCTGACAACACCAACTTGAAGGTCTAGAGATGTATCTTCTACAAAGCCACATGTGCTTTCCTGGTCCAGCTCTTCTACCTGCATCACTTCACCATCCTCACGTCTCTTCTCCAGCAGTTTCCTGCCCGTCACTGTAGTGACGCATGTGGTTTGTTCCTTCAGACGCCCTTTGGAAAAACCCTGGATCTCCTGCATCAGCGAATGCATCACACTGAGATTTAACAGCCCAGGTACCCTGAAGGGAGACACAAGGCAGCGTGGGTAAGGCAGAAAGAAAAAAACACATGTTTACATTTGGCGATTTTAAAATGACTTTTATATATACTGTACTGTAGATTATTTTCCAAAAACAAATTGTTTTAAACACAAAATTTGTTTAAGCTTCACATTGTACTGTTAATATTTAACCATATATTCCCATCATCATTTTCTACGCCACCTATTTGGGAAATGTGGGTATTGCAGGGAAAAGGCAGAAGTATAATGATAATATAAATACATTATATAATTTGGAGATGAACGGGCTGCACCCGGCCCCCGGGCCTTACTTTGCTCATGCCTGACTTAGACACATAAGTTTTGTGAATTTGGAATATGAAAAAACAAAGTGCAAACATTGTGCAGAGGTTAAAAATATTTTTTTTTTAAAAGTCACATTATTTTCTTTGAGGGGTGAAAAGAACACACCAATATTATCATAAGTACAAAATGTATATTTCTTTATATTGATACATATATACAACAGTAAACCTTGTAATCACTCTCATCAAAAACACAATTTTATCATTGGTCCGAGTGTTTCATCTTCATTGGGCCTTTTTGTTTGGGATTGTCCTAAATCAAATTTGAATGAACTATAAAATGGGAGACTATAATATTAATAATTATTATCTATAATCTTCACGTTTGGTTACGCCTAGGGACACAGCAGTGTTAGCAGGGTCCCATTCTGAAGGCGATATTACGCCCGGTCAGTTGTTTTTGACACACCCATCCGGTCTAAAAGAGTCTGAACTCACGCAAAGCCCTGGAAAATGTCAGAACATCTGCGTTCGTCAGCCTCTATTTAGCTTACTAACACTCGATGATGAAAACATTAACAATCCACAGTGCAGCGACCGAAAGAGCGAGTGAGTTCCAGTGCGAGCAGAACAGGAAACTACGTCAACAGAATGCTGAGTTCACGGACACATGGTAATGTTGTAAAAAAAAAACATCATTCACATCGTTCCAAGTTATCGTTAGACACGTAATATATCACCATATGAATAAATATTATATATTCATATAATATAAATAATATCTATCTCAATTAACAAGAGTTGTTATAGCATTTCCAATTTGTGTTTTACTTGGCGATTGGTTTTGAAATATACCAGTTGGACGTGTCAAAAAGGTAAGTAAAGCATACAATAACTTGTTTTGTCATTTGTGCAAAGTGAGTTAATTGTGCAGGCCTACAGCACAGCTAATATTATTTTCTTCTTTGTTTATTATATTATATTTATTATATTTTATTATTCTGTGTCTTTTTCATAATATATCTTAGGTATTTTCTTTTGTGTGTGTGTGTTATCTTGATCTTTCTCTCCAATTCATTTTTTTTATTACCCTCAAATAATTTATTTTAGTTTCCAGTTTCAGTCTTCCTTTTTCAGATGTAATAACCTTGGGCTAAAACTGGGATTAAGTGATTTTCTTTTTTCCAGTTTCAGTCTTCCTTTTTCAGACGTAATAACGGTGGGCTAAAACTGGGATTAAGTGATTATCTTTGTTTGGCTTTTTTTTAGTTTTTTGTGGTCACAAAATTTTTTTTTTTTTTTTTTTTTGTGGTCACAAAATACATTTAAGATGTTGACATCGTGTCTGAAAATGTGACGTTTTACCTCAAATACGTAAATAAAGGCACATATGTAAACGAGTAAATAAACACGTTAAATAAATATACACGTTAAATAATATTAATATAGAAACAATTGTAGGCAGAATACAGAAACGAATGTTGTAATTCTTTATTAATAAACTGTTTCGCTTTTGGCTATTGGAATACCTCTGCCATAGTAGCAGGGTGTGAGATTTTACTTTGAACGATGGACACGTGAAGGCAACAGGCTTCAACCTCGTTACGAAGACCAGGGCAACTCCTCATATCTGACACCGAAAAAATAGGCAGGAAGACGGCGGGGGCGAGGTGCAGGAAGCCGCTGTATAAACCCCAGTCATCTGAACATGGGCGAAATCTAACAACAGGCGCAGCGTAATTTTTCACCTTCTACAGCAGAAACTCTAAATATCTGTGATTTCATATAATTTCCGGACGGAATCGAAGATTTAACCGAAAAAGAAAATGTCTCGAGGAGTGATTCAGCCCAGCCAGCAGAAACTGGCAGAAAAACTAACCATCCTCAACGACAGAGGCATCGGGATGTTGACTCGTGTCTACAATATTAAAAAGGTAAGCACGCTCGTACAATATTATTAAACACACTTGGACACGGGCAGATTAGCTATAAAAGCATCTGCACTTGCATCCATAGCCACTGTCAAAAGCAGTGTTAACAGTACAGCGTGAATGTTTGGTCAGCTACAGCAGCGCATACTGTTCTATAACGTCCTGTTAATATAAAACGTTGTGTATTGTTGTCAATAATTGTGTATAAAATAAGAAATATGTACCATTAGACACTAGTATGTTTTTCTGGATGCAGATGTGTACTCGGTTAGCCGCTAGCTATCGGTTAGCTTGCGGTAAAGTTGATACTGGGATTTAGGGTGTAAACCGATTTCCCTTCAGGTGTACTACAAACACTGACATTTGTTGTGGTTCGTGCGGTATAATTATACTAATTAGAGGCTACAACTAAATAAAAAAATGGTCAAATTTAGCTGTAGCAATGTGTAGGCCTGTGGCTGTAGTGGTTACTGTCGGCTGTAATGGCGGCGGCTGCAGCCTAAGCTATGCTAGGAGTCGGGCGTCGTCTTTCCCCAAAACAGAAAGAATATCAAGAGGAGCAGAAGCCTGATTTTAAAGGCAACATTGACGAGATTCCACAAGTAATTACAAGCTAAGCATTGTCTTCCCAAAATCGCCAGCTAATTAATAGACAATAAAGCCACATTATTACCTACAACGATCATAATATTTTCACCGGTCGTCAGATTTAATTGAGATAACACAGGGTCAGGGTTTGTTATGGATTTAACGCTGTGAAAACAATACTATTTTATAATCTTTGGCTAATCTCACAACTCTTAGATTTGTATTATTAACTTGTGTATGGTCTCAGCCCAAGCGAATGTAAACCATTATATTATGTTGCAATCAGTGTTTTCTGCATTACATTATTGCATTATTATTTGCAGTATTAACCTGGCAGGTATTTGATGTGAGTAGCAGGGTACACACTAACAGGCTACAGAGGATCCAACTTTTAAAACATTTACTAACACCAAAATATTTCACAGAATATTTGACAAATTTGTAATTAACCTTACTCTTGATTTTATACATTGACATGAATTATCTGCAAGTCAAGTGTATTTATCAATTGTCATTTTTTAAATAATCTTAAATAAACATATACAGTTGATCAGAATGAACTATTTCATTAGTATTACAGCAAAACATAAGAATAAAAAGGGTATTTTTTATATGATGTTCTCCATCAATATCTTTAAAAGAAATAAATGTTTTACTTCAAAAAAAGTTAAAACTTGACAGGTTTGTGACACACTAGACTATCTGAATTCATTTAAGCTATATTTTAAATTTTACTGCAAAACATGAGCAATAATATGCAGCACTGTGACATCACATGGATGTTTCTGGACTCTAGGTTTTTTCTTTTTACTCAATAGATGATTATGGGTGTAAAATAGTCTGGAGTCTGCCTGAATGCATCTGCCTGTGTATAATAAGCCAGTGTTTATGACGAATAAATGAGATTGTTACAACGCTGAAAGAAGCCAGTAAGGCATGCCAAAATTTGAAGAAAAAGCACAATAATTTGCTTTAGGAGTAGTTTTATCCGTGCTCTGAATTAATCAGGGTTTATGTCCAGATAATAATATAAATAATTTAAAAATATAAACAATTTATTTAATTGGTAATTTTTTAACTCTTCTAGCAGTCTGACACTACCATAGACTTTAAACACGCAAGAAAATAAAGGGGTGGTCCTGGTTTTGTGTTTTGCCTATTTTCATTTCCACTTACCTTCCTTTTTTGTGTCCCATCATCTTCACTCCTATCCTCCACGTCTGTACTGATCTATTGTGAAATGATGTACACTGTATGTTCTTTGCATTCCCTTATCCTTGAACCATGGCAGCTTTTCAGATTTCATTAGCATCTTTGTCATTATAGTACCACTCTAGGGGGAGTGGTTGTGCTCTGCATGATAGCCTCGTCCACCTAAATTATCGATCAATAATAAATAAGTGGACTATTTAGACACTTGTTTTTCGTCATATAACAATTCACAGACGCCATCATTCCATTCTGCACATATCCTTGCACAGAGCGAGACTGAACATCGGATCTCAGCTTCGCGGTCGAGACACGAGTAGACTAACTAAAGGACAGTTCCACTTTGAGAAAAAAAATAATAATTAAACAAACCAGATCAAGACCATTGAGAAATTGAATAATTAAAAAAAAAAAGTAATTTGGATGATGGAAGATGCTAAACATCCAGCGTGGTCTGGGTGTATCTGAGGGTTGCTGCCATTGTTGTGGGAGAGTGCATCTGCATTTATAAAACCGTTCTTAGACTAAAACAATTAAAATATGCCCATTCTGATAAGTTCATATACTCAAAACGGACGGAGCAACTTGACGTAGACAGGTTAGCTTACCATTTTTAGGTGTGCCATGTTTGTAGTTTGAGCTGTGATATGCAAACTTTGCATTCAACTTTTTTTTTTTAACAGTTATCTATTTTCTAAAATGCTGCCACAGTGTCGATGTCTTTGACATGGTAGAGGAGGACTGACTGTAAATGATCAGAATTTTTGTTCGAGCCAGAACGTACCGACCAATAAATCAAACAGAGATTAAAGCTCTAGAAATGTTATGGTCAAAAATGAAATTATAGATTAAAAAAAACATGCACACACCCTACGTCAATGCCAGGCTGCTAATGACAGTGCACACACTACAGAAAGAAAAAAAAAATAGACTGCATGTCGTGTGGTACTGTGCATGTGCGCCTGTTTCCCCATTGGCTGTTTTTTCATAGTAGACCAATCAGCTATCAGCATGGAGGGCTGTAAATCTGTTATCTATCTGATGAATTACTCAGTTTCCCCCAAAGAGGCAGATTACAGTGTTAGGTGATGTACGGTTTATAACAAGTGCTTTACCATTGCCCGTTAGCTAAATGATTGTAAAAGTCATGCTGAGGAAACATTCGTTTTTCATAAGTCACAGTAATAGGCGGGGTCAGGTTGGTCACGATAGGAAGGGATAACGTGCCAACTGTGCGGACAGTGTGATGAGAAGAGAGAATATATCGAGCAGCTTATGAAGGAAGGGGAAATTAAGAGGGACGTAAGGATGGACGGAGGAGAGAGAATTAATCGGAACGTGTAAAGAATTAGTACGAAGGACAGCTTCAAGAGCAATGATGTGTGAGTTGAGGCAGTTGTTCCGGATGACACGCCAATGGAGGTATGGATATGTTTAGGAAGATGGGCAGCAGACTTTTTTGCAATGGTCGTTTAAGACAGTCCTCGAGAATGAGACGTCGCCTGACAAATGGAGAAAGAGTGCACTAGCTCCAACTTTTCAAGAAAAAAAAAAAAAAAGCGATTTCCAGAGGTTAACCACAAAGGTATAAAGTATGATCAGCCATAGGGCGAAGGTATGGAAGAGTGTTGTTTTGCCAAGGGTGTACCTGGTACATAGTAAAATGCTATATGCTTTGAGATTGCTAGTAGAAAGTTCATAAAAAAATCAGAAGTTGCACTGTCTTTGTGAACTTTAAAAAAAGTATAAGATAGGCTGCCTTTAGAGCTTTTTACTCCACTGTTTTCATGCAAAAAGTACATTACATTACAGTACATTATTTGACATCCCACTTTTAGGGATACTGTGGTACTTGTAGGAGAATGCCAGTGAGACGTTAGTTAGGCGTGCAGTCAGAATAACAGACCGGTTCAGGGGTTTTGTGAGTCTCCTCTCTCATCTACAAGATCTGCCATAAAGTAAATATATCTCTGGTGTGGAGAAGAAAGGATAACAGAATACATATCTGTTCAGAGAGTATACATTCAAAAGACAAAACACAGACCGGGCCTCCCTGATTTCTATTGGTAATGACCAGGATGAACGTGATTCAAAATGGGCATATAGAGCAAAAGCTAAATGTGTAACTGTTTTACAAAAAAAAAAAAAAAGTTTTTCTGTTGCCAGGCAGGTCAGAAAGGAAAAACATCCAACATCTGTGACTTGATGTCACTACAGTGTTAACTATTGCCAGAAAACTTTCTGGTTTTTGATGCTCTCTTGCCTAGGAACAAGTTCAGCAGTGTCGTCAACCGTAGGCAGCGACAGACCAAAATCCTATGATATTCTGCATTATGAAACACTATGTTTTAAATCGACTATACAATTCTCAGACACCAATTGAGACAACGTGAGGTCGAAAGTGGTGGGTCTCTTTCCTGCCGCCGAAGACTGAGCCTTTAACGGATGCATCACACATGTCTTTTACTAGCACAAAGGCTAATTTACACCCTCCGAAGAAAACTTTTTAAAACGTATTTGGTCTTACTTTGCAGTGACTTTGAAGGCGTCAATCTCTTTTTTTTTTTTTTTTTTTTTTTTTTACAATTTTTTTTTGTGTGTATACAATTTTTTTTTTTTTTTTTTACAATTTTTTGTGTGTATACGCCCTTTGATCTGTAGCTCTAGTGAAAATGACACTGATTGCTGTCTGCACACATGAGCAATAAATAATTAATTTAGAGTATCATTGCATCAGACAGCACTCACCAATTAATAATGATCTGTAACAGCAATCAGGCAACGGTGAATGAACTTGAATTCTATTGAAACAATGGTTGTACTGACAATAGCTTTTGTCCTAACTCTAACTAAATTATATTAATATTAAAGTATTTTGTCATGGTTTGAAAATTCGGCTTCGACAACTCTATTTATATTTATATATATATACATATATATATTTATATATATTTCAGACTGTTGACGTTGTCACGGCTGGCCATGTGTTGTGTTAGTTTCTCCGATTTGTGTATGTGTGTCTGAGAGAGAGAGAGATGACTGACCAGGTAGTTTTTCTGGGTTGCCTCTCTTTTTTGATTTTTTTCTCTTCTTCTCTCCGTTCCAATGCTTCTCCCCTTCTCTTATGCAGCAAGGACACACTTGGAAGGTTTGCAAAGTTTCTCACCTTCCACTGATAAAGCCTGCTTTCCCTGTCATGGCTCCCCAGCCCCCCCCCCCCCTTCCTTCCTCATTCCTCCCCTCCTGTCCTCTGGCTCCTGGCTACCTGTACTGATCTGTTGGTCTTGTCTTTTGTGCCCCACTCCACATGAAATCATAACCATGTAAACATGGGGGTAAGGCTGGGCTTTTTTGTCCTTTTTTTTTTCTTTTTCTCACATGTAGGCTTAGAAGAGGATGTTTACTTTTTGCATTTCTGGCCTGTATTACAAGAGAGAATAAATCTTTCTTTTATTACTTTAACAGAAGCGGCAGAAATGTATGTCAAAACACAAGCTAATTCTCCAAATGTTTAAAAAAATATATACATATATTATATATATTTGATATATATTATATATATTTATAAGTCATATATTATATATATTTGATATATATTTATAAGGAAAAAAGTTAACGCATAGACAGAATGTTGCACACAAATACACGTTAAAAAAAGTTGTTTTTTTTTTCAGTGACAATGTTTTCACACTCTTTACATTCTTTGTCGTTTCACAAAGAATCTTGCGTTTAAAAAATATCATCTCAACGCCCAGCAGAGGCTTTAACTTCTGGCCGGACACCCCGCCCAGCTTAAGTCAGAACAACCTCACCAAGCACGTGGCAATAAAGTAGTCCATGACTGACAAACTGACTGAAAAAAAAAATCTCAAACGGATGAGACAATTGAATTTGAAGAGACAGTAGTTTTGTAGTATAGTTGAGGACATGGGTGTCTCAGATATTTTGTTAAAGCAACAATGACTTAAATCTATCAACTCTATTAAGCCAAATATTGGTTTATAGTTTTGAATTTTCTTTGACAGGTCTATTGCGTATTTATAAAAAATGTCTGATTTTATTTTAAGTTTCCTTCCCAGGAAGCATATACTCCATATTTTTTTTCCAAGTCTAAATCCAAAATATTTTACACCACAATTAGCAGTACATTTTTTTGTTCTAAGTACCAGCTTCTCAACAGGGAGCAGTAAATGCAGTCCCTGTTGTATGTTAGTCTGCGTGTGGGATCATTTGAAAATTGTAACCTCGAGTTTAAAAACACTAGTGGAGACAAGACCACAGTCTGTTTTGGTATACAGACAACAACGTCCATACTTCTCTCTGGCCATGACTGATGCTCAGCTTTTTCCCCCATTTCCTTGTCAATCATTAACCCCCTGCTCCTTACTGTACTGTTGCATCCATTCGTCCATCAAGCCCTTTTCTACAAAACACAGTCAGCTTATTGCTCTTGCCACTAATTAACATGTCATTTTCACTTAATATACAGACATCATTAGAAAGCGATTTGCCGTTGTGTTCGGGTGCGAGACAATAGGAAGCCAAATACTCTCCTTAACTTTTCAGTGTTAATTAAAAAGGATGTGACTCAAGGGTAACCTGAACTTATCGTAAATGCAGATTCTGACTAATAATATTTGTCATAAAATCATATTGTATTAATAAAATGCAGTCTGTACAATCTATAAAAACTTTGAAGCACAGCAAGGCTAATTAAAGGTAATTTCAATATCTTCTTTAATAGTTCCACAGTGAGGAAATTGTACTTATTAGAAAAGTTATTGACTTTGTTCAAAAGCAATAGTTCTATAGGAATTATTTAAAAAAAAAAAAAAAGTTCAGTAGATTTTACAAGAAAAATATTTAGAGGTATGTTCTAAAAGAAAGGGACACTGCAGGACACGTTTGGGAACCACTGAGTTTTTTTGCTACCTTATCTTTGTCATTATTATATGCACTTGTTCTCTCATAAAAAAAAAAGGTGAAATCAGAGCACTTTAAAATATACACAGCAGCTTGGAAAGATTCTCTTCAGGGTTAAATAGACATTTTGGTGGCCATTTCTTATGGTAGGCACAAGTGTGTTACTCTACTTACAAAATACGTTTGTGTGTGTATATATATATATGTGTATATATATAGATATATGTGTGTATATATATATATATATGTATATATATGTGTGTATATATATATGTGTGTGTATATATGTATATATATGTGTGTATGTATATATGTATATATGTATGTATATATATATGTATGTATGTATATATATATGTATATATGTATATATATGTATGTATATATGTATATATATATGTATATATGTGTATATATGTATATATATATGTTTTTGACATGTCAATACTAGAGATGCACTGATCAGCCGGTGACTGGAACAGTAGAAGAAGCTAACAAGCTGGAGCTAATACGTAGTTAGCTTGGATATACTTTTTGGAAAGCTAAGAAAGTTTCAAACTTTCTAGCCATAATAAATAAAAGTAAGTTCAGCCGTTTCAGACCGTAGTGTTTTCGGAACTCTTTCAAGCTGTGCAAGCTTTTGTTTACCTCGAAAAAGACGATAATTTGCCAGTTGACGACAAAGAGATGCTTTTGATTGTCAGAAAAACAAAACCATTTGCCATTTAGTCTCAAGAAATAGCAATTTGCCTCTGCAGATATTTGCAGTGAAATGCCCTTTTTGTTATCGCTCACTGCACTTACGACTTGAAAGAACAAAGTTCGCATCGGACTTTATTTAATGTGGGTAAATATTGGTCTTTGTATTTCAAGATAAGGGGGGGAAGAAGGGGTCTTTGTATTTCAAGATAAGGGGGGGGGGGAATGCATACTTTGTTCTTAATTCTTAGTTACTACAAAACAAGTGTAAAACTGCAGATTGTTTTGTTTTGTTATGCTAGTAAAAGCTTGGTGTGCACAAGCTTTCATTTGTCAGAAAGACATTTTCCTTTAGTACCTCATTCCAGTCACGAAGCAGTTTACTTTGGGAGTTGTTGAATGATAAGAGAACCTGTTTGTTTGGTCGGACAATTTTCATATTTACTTGTTATGAGAATATAATGTTGCACTAGAGAATTATCAAAAAATTGCAAATCAGAATCGGCCAAAATCGCAATCTGTGCATCTCTAGTTATTTTGGTGGTTACAGGGACAGTTCATGTTATCAGGCGCTGAGGACATCACTGTCCCGAGGTTAGTGAGAGTTAGTAGCAGAAACGGACAGATCATCTCTCTGATTGAAAATGATTTTAGTAAAAGATGTATACACATTTTCAAAATTGAAAAAAAAAAAAAAATCACCCACTTCTCAAATAGTTCTTTGAGAAACAAGAACTTTGCTAAATGCTAATGCTAAAAGGGGTAGCCTAAGGTTGAGTAATTCTCAAAGCACCATCTGCCAGGGCTTGCGGTATTCAAATAAATGTTTACACCATTTTATTATAAAACTCCATAGGAATTGTTACTACAATGAACAATTGTTGAAAGCAGGACAACTTAGTTAATGCCATATATAATATCCAGTGTTATGACTTAGTGTTAGTTGTAGTCATCAAGTGCAATTTTGCTAGGTAATGCATGTACAGTAACCCTTACCTCCTACATGCGACCACTGCGATATCATAATCGTACTACATTTTCCAAGTGTTGTTGTTTGCACAAACAGGTATATATTGATTTTGTTGTTTATTTTGGCACTCGCTGATGCTTGAATTTATATAGAGCTATGCTAAGTGAAATCCAGTTAAATGGCTGAGGTGTTGCTCTAAGGCGTTTGTTTATAGGGCGTGATTAAAATGTGAATTTTGTGTTGTTGTTTGCTACCGTAAGGGTTGCTTATTTTGCCCTTAAACTAGAAATTACAATTTTTGGGGGCTGATTCTGATTTACCATATTTTTTGTGAACTTGTCAATACCAATATTGAATGATTTCAATTTTTTTTTTTTCATTTTCAATTGACAGCATTCCCAAAAAATAATTACCATCTCTTCTTTTTTCTCCTATATTCCCCCCCCTCGCTCGCTCTCTCTTTCTCTTTTTTTCTACCTCCCTCCTCCTTGCTCACTCACTCACTCACTGAACTAAGAGGCACTTCAGCGAGCAGCGTGATGCAGAACACAAAGTCGCAACAAAAAATCTGGTAGTTAGTCGACCGCTTACCTCTGAATTACAAATAAAAAGCTTAGCGCTCCGTTCCGCACTAGCACTGGCCTTCAGATTATAAAACAAAAGGACACTAAGCTTTTTTTTAAAAATTATTTATCTTAGCTTTAGCCTTAATATCTGACGGAAAAATAAACATATTAGGGATCATGCAAAAATAATAAATAAAGTAAACTGTACCTTCAGGGTGACTGCATAATGAATCTAATTGGCGATGTCATCCTCTACAATAACATAAACGCGTTAAATACTGCAATTTTGGATTAAAATGAATGCAGACATTTCAAGTCACCAGAGGAGGCACTGACAAAACAAGCTAATATATTACCGTCACTTAATATAGAGTAAGCAAAAAAAAAAAAACAAAACATGAGTGCAATTTATGTTAGCATGCACACTACAAGAAGAGAGAGAGACTGTAGCATGCACACTACAAGAAGAGAGAGACTGTTTTGCGTTGTGCATTGAGTCTGTTTTTCGAAGCCTGCACGTTTGACGGAGACCAATCCATTTTAATGTGTACAGGTTTTATTCTAGACAAAATTACTCTGCTTCCCAAAGAGGGCGAAACCCTTTGTCGGATGTCTCAAACCTTGGATTTGTACATTTAACCCAAAAATCAGTCCAGAACACTACGCTAAGCCTCGTGCGTGCTTGTTTCCATTTCTTTAAAGTTGCTTTGGTGGAAAACGTCATCGCTGTCAGCAGAGTCAGCATTTTTCATTCCTCATCACGTCCCATTATTACCGCTTTGGATGACGCAGTTCTCACTGTCAGCACTCACATTTCTAACATACCTGACTATTACGGAAGTGTTTGGTTTTTTTTTTTTTTTTTTAAGAATAGTTAGTTATTTTATGCTGTGACCCTTCAGCTCTTTTCCTTTTGATTTCACAGGCATGTGGCGACCCCAAGGCCAAGCCCTCCTATCTGGTCGACAAGAACTTGGAAAGTGCGGTGAAGTTCATCGTCAGGAAATTCCCTGCCGTGGAAACACGGAATAATAACGTAAGTAAAGCGTTTAGTTTAGTTTATGCAAAACAGGACTCAGGGGAAGTGGAATGAATTAATAAATTAAAAAAGTAAATTCCTATCATTTTGACGATTTGTTTAGCCATAATTTCCAGCTTTGTTTAATACAGAGGAGAAATGGTCTATCGTCCGTCTCATTTAGATAGTTACATTAAAACCACAGTAAAGGGACAAAAGGTGAGTCAGAACAGCACTGGGCTGCACTGATGTGGGCAGCGGTGAAAACTGGCGATTATTGCCCAGTTCTCCTTAGAGATCCAAGATGCAATATCAGAAAGTTAAGTGTGGTCCAGCGGGGACGTGTGTTTTGTGTTTATGTTTATACGTTCCTTTTAACTACCAGACAATAACAATTAACTCTTTAAAAAAAAAAAAGAAAAAAGAGTGCTACAGCTGAATAATAATAACAAAAATAATGTTATTAATAATAATAATAAAAACAATAATAATAATAGTAACAAAAAGGCTTACTTACACAGAGAGACTTTAAAATTTTAAAAAAATTAAAATTCAATTTTATATGTCAATACTTTGTTATGCTCATTTTATTCAAACATACGAATATTACTTGTGATTTGCAACAACATTTTGGAGTCTTTGATCCTTATAAACAAACATTCTGACTTTTAAATTAAATAAGTATATCCAGGTATTTTCTATATGCCAATTTATTATTGAGTGAACTGACCTTTTATTTATTAGATGTACAAATCTTTGCGTGGTGAAGTGCTTTTTCAAAATATCAATATGGATTGCTTACTCAAATCAAGTCAGATAAAATGATGGGGAAACTGGAGAAAAAGTGAGAGTATCTTGAGGTAAACTAATAACATGTGCTTCCGATTTTCATTTTCAAACGTCAATAACTGAAACAGAAACAGTTGCGTAGAAATGTAAAAAAAAAAACAAAACAACTGTAGTCGTAGGATCCGATACCTAGGAACTTTCAACAAAAGCAATAAATAACAATTAAAGTCTGTCTATTGGAGAATAATAATAACAATCAAATGTTCGACTTAAAATTGACCAAATCATTAAATATATTTTGAAGCATTATCGTAAAAAGTGATGTTTAATCAATTAAGCTTAGATGTCAAAATGTGCGTATGTGTATGTGTGTCAGTGAGAACTAAACTCAACCTGTTATTTTAGTTCATAGCTTCATGCTTGCGCGTGTCGATGTGAAGCTGCCATTTAGCATTTTGTGCAATCGTGTGTATGTCGCTAACGGCTTTTTTTTTTTTTTTTTTCTCTCAGTATAAATGTGCATAAATTGTGTCTTATGTTGTTTTCTGCTTTGTTTCTGTGTTTGTGTTTTGCATGCTAATCTTGGCTTATTCCGGACATGTGCTTTTTGGTAAGTTTTTGTATCTAAGTTCCTGTTATTTTTCTGTATTTAAGTTGATATATATCTATGTTTTTGGATCACGTATTTTTGTACTGCTTTTACGAAGTTTCTAGCGTTTTTTTTTTTTCCTTTGCTCAGCTTTATCGTTTGTCACACCGGCTGTCACAGCTTTTCTTTTCCTTCATCCTTCGAGTGACAGAATGGCAAGTTCGCATGCCAGCAAATCGGCTGGCTGTTTGAATAACTAGCTTGACTGCCTGCACTAAGGATTGTTTAAAAGAAATGGATGCACTCGCTTATTTATTAAGGACCAAGGCCTGACAGGCATCCAGAAATCAATTTTACCGCTTACCCTCCTTTTGGTGCTCTTGACGTGCGCCATTAAGCTTTAGTCGCCCATCACTGCGCTGCTGGTTCACTGGACCAGTTTTAATGGTTACTGACCAGTGCAGACTAGGAATACCGTACAGGAGCAGCTGTTTTGGAGAGCCTCTGATCCAGTTGGTTAGCCTTTCCAATTTGGTTTTGCCCAAATCCTGACGGCCGTCCATTGTTTTGCTTGTAACATATCAACTTAATCAAGCAGAATGTTAACGTACTACCCAATACTACCGACTACATTTAACTTGCAACTTACTAACAAGTGCTATGATTAAAAACCCAGTCCATTTATTCAACTGTCAATTGTGTCTTATTACCGTATATACTGTAATATATTTATAACTGTGGTTAGTTGAAGGACTTCATATATTTTACCCTATGTTATTACCGTATTTTTCGGAGTATAAGTCGCTCCGGAGTATAAGTCGTACCAGCCTGCTAGAGTGCCCCCTAGCGGGTGTCTGTGTGACAATAACAAACATGGAAATCTATAGTGGTACAGCAGTAGCAGATACTGATACACAAGTCTAGAGTGCCCTCTAGTGACTGTCAGTGTGAAAATAACAAACATTTAAAATTATATATTTTCATATATAAGTCGCAACCTGAGTATAAGTTGCGAACTCCAAAGGATGAAAAATACTGCGGCTTATAGTCCGAACAATACGGTACTCGACCGCTTACTCTTACTCTAACGTATGAATAGATTCATGCAGACACTTAGCTCCAGCACAATATTGCAAGAAAAATTGAGAAAAAAAATCACCGACTTTACTAAACAGGTCTGATGTCCTCAGACGTCCTCAGACGTCCTCAGACGTCCTCAGACGTCCTCAGTGCAGCAGCAGCATTGCATCTACATTAATTTTCTGCCCTTTTCCACTTTGTTTAAAGAGCATTTTACCTCTGTCTTTTTTTCTGTCATCTAGACAGATGAAGCCTTCACGGTGTATTTAAATATAAAGATCTTTAAGCCATTTGTCAGATAAAGCCTAGAGTCAGGATTTATTCTTTAGGCTCCTGGGGGAAAAAAAAAGATTTAAAGTCTACAGTGGTTGTTTTCCAGCTTTTTTTGAGGTAGAGAGAAAATGTCATAGCTAAGCAGAAAATACTAAATATATCATCTATTAATAAGATGTTTTGTTTTTTTTTAAAGCCTTGATAAGACGATGAATTAATTATTTATGATCATATTATTTATTTTATGATTAAATAGTTGGTAAAAAGCTACCATCTACCTACTTTACTTTTTGGTTATTTTAAAGGTAGAAAATAAGACCTTAGGCAGTGTTAGTGTGTTAGAGTGGGACACACGTGTGTAGTTGTACGTAACTGTGTTTGTGTGGATTTTACAGCAACAGTTGGCCCAGCTGCAGAAGGAGAAGTCCGAGATTCTGAAAAACCTGGCGCTGTATTACTTTACATTTGTTGATGTGATGGAATTTAAGGTGAGGGGAAAACGCGCAGACACAAGTGCGATGTGAAAGTACTCGGACATTATCGACGTTAACCAAGGATGTTTCTTTACTAATAGGATCACGTTTGTGAGCTGCTCAACACCATTGATGCTTGCCAGGTCTTTTTTGACATCGTAAGTGCCAAATCTACGTGAAACACCGAAGGATAAGTCGAATGTTCTTTTTCATTGTGTACTTTTGTAAATGTCATCATCACGTTGGTAGGAAAAGGTCTTAAAATATTGCTTATGGGAAATACTAACTGATTATTTGGTAAGTATTGAAATAACAGATATATATTTAAAAAGTAAACAAACGTTAATAATAATAATTTATAATCTCTTAATTCCTGTCAGAAACTCAATCCATGAACATTGAAGTCTGGGTTTTTATATCCCAAACCAAACAGTAAAAAATAAGCAGTAAATGCCACTAGTACTGCTATAATTGTACAGAAAAGTATTTTATGGTCAGGTAGTCATTCTACTATTTCAATTGTGTACTCCATTTTTTTTTTTTTTTTTGCAAAGAGATCGTTTAATAATTCAAATAATAGTGAAGGGGTTGCGGGAAGTACTGCTCTTTTTTTTTTTTTTTTCCCAACCATTTACCACTGTCATACTTCCACTTTCTTCTCTTCTGATCAACATTATTATGACTGCTACACATTAAGTTTATTATTATTATTATTATTAAAAATCCCATTTCTTTTCTACTAAATAATATAAAGGACAATACAGTTTGAGATTTTGTAAAACACAATTCTTTTTCTTTTTTTTTTTTTCTTAACCCCACCAGACGGTGAACTTTGACCTCACCAAGAACTACCTGGACTTGGTGGTGACCTACACTACGCTGATGATCATACTGTCGCGCATCGAGGAGAGGAAAGCAATCATAGGACTGTACAACTACGCTCACGAGATGACACATGGAGCCAGGTGATCTGACAGTCACACACACACACGCCTTAGACTGGGTATTAGCTTTTACTCTGTAGGTGCAGAAAGTACTACTTAAAGTACTTCTATCATGGCGAGCTAGAGTTACACTGTTTCAGGTCAGTGTTTTCACCATCAAATGATGGTTTGTCATTGTGACAGAACCGGCTGTATTTTCCCCCCAATTTATTGAAATTTTTTTTTTTTTTTTATACATAGGGTTACATCGTAGTGTGGGGTCTTTCCAGAGTAGACTGATTTTTATTTTTTTTGTTGTTGTTTTTTTTTGTTCTCTGCTGAATGCAAATTGAAAATTTATTTTTTATCAATTACTAGATATTTCAGGCGGCCACATATGGGGACGCAACCCCTAGGTTGCCCGAGGTCAAATCATAAGCGGATACTTTACCATTCCGCCATCACATTATCCTCAAACACTCAACTTATTTACTAAGTAAGCTCCTGTGTGTGTTGGTTGTAGTGACCGGGAGTATCCCAGGTTGGGGCAGATGATTGTGGATTATGAAAACCCCTTGAAGAAAATGATGGAAGAATTTGTTCCACATGGAAAGGTAGGAGAGCTGTGTTTGTGTGTCGCATACTGCAGTGAGTCAGCGTTTGTAAAAAAAAAAAGAGGCTTCACCAGCTTTGACCAACGAGTTAGTTAGTCTAATTTACGACCCTCAACTTGACATCGTAGGTGTGTTTTTTTTTTTTTTTCTACCTCGTGCAGTCTCTGTCAGATGCGCTGCTCAGTCTTCAGATGGTCTACCCCAGGAGGAACCTGTCCGCGGACCAGTGGAGGAACGCTCAGCTGCTCTCTCTCATCTCTGCCCCCTCCACCATGCTCAATCCTGCTCAGTCAGACACTGTAAGTTTGGCTGCTTTTTTTTTTTTCTGGCCCGGTTTTCTAAATATTTTAATATATTAATGACGCTGTTTTCAAATAAAAAAAATTCCCTTTTTTTTTTAAAAAAAGGAAGCCTCATTAACCCAGTTTGACCCAAGCAGACTGACTGAACTAGCAAAAGTGCAACTTTGTTTAGAGAAGGGAGGGAAAAAAAAGAAACTAGAAACGAAAATGTACGAGTCAGAGGAAAATATTGCAAAACTGCTTGTTGTAACAAAATAAAAAAGTGTCGCTCAGACAAACGCATCACGGTGTAGTTTCAGGGTTTTTTTTTAAAAATGAGTTCTTGTGTCTTTGTCCATAGATGCCATGTGAATATCTGTCTCTGGACGCGATGGAGAAGTGGATCGTTTGTGAGTTATTCATTTAAAAAATTTTTAAAAAATTAAATAAAATATATATATATTATTATATATATTAAATATATATAATAT